TATTATTCCATAGAATTCTGTTTGCTTTCTAATGAGAGACAGAAAGGAGGTGGATCAGAATGGGAGGGGAGTGGGAGGAGTTGGAAGGGTTAGAGGGAGAGGAAACTGTAATCAGGATATATTATGTGAGGAAAAAGATCTATTTTCAATAAGAGTAAAAAAAGTTCTGGAAGATACAAGTTTATGTTTCTGGTGTGTGTGTTCATGTGTGCATGTATGTGTGGGGAGGCTGTGTGTGTTTGTGTGTGGGGAGGCTAAAGGCCAACACAGATTATGTTCTTCAATTACTCTTCACCTTGTTTTTTGAGACAGTCTGTCACTGATTTGGGTTGCCGATTTGGCTGGATTGACTACTCAGCAAACCCTAGGGATCCTGCTGTTTGCTTTCTCAGCACTGGGAGCACAGGCATCAACCATGTGCCTGGCTTTTCACATGGGTGCTGGGATCACTCTCAGGTACTCGTGCTTACATGGCAGGCACTTTACCGACTGAGCCAGGCTTGCAACCTCTTCTGTTTTGTTTTATTTTTGTTTTTATTTTTATGTTTTTGACAGTGAACCATTCAGGTGTCCTCAAAAGGCGTGAAATAACCTAAACAAAGAAAACAGTATTTTGGCTACTGATGAAACAGAACATACCAGCGATATTCTCTTTTAACTTGTCACCAGTTTCTATGACATTATCATAGTTATTCCTACATGAGTAGCTCTCAATTGGTCCATTTTGCACTTGATACTGTCTAGAGATACTTTGGTTGTCATAACATGCAACCTGTAAGGGTTACTAATAGAATATATAGTGAGGAAATGTCAGGGGTGCTGCGGAGCATTTGGTAATGATGGGACAGCTCTTCCACAAAGAATACCAGCTCTGAACGCCAGTCTGCTGACAGTGCAAATTCTGCAAGTTTTGTGTGCATGTGAGCTTCAGCTGTGACTGACCTCCCCAAGGCTGGTGGGGGCAGCATTTCAGCTTTAGAGCAGATGCAGAGAAAAGCCATCTGAACCTTTATCTGCATCTATCAGTGAACTCTTTGTCTTGGGAACACAATTCATCAGGGCCACTGACAGTTGGAGAAGAAAGAGCTTGTGGTAGAGAATTAAAACAAATAGGAAATCTACAATGAAACAGAAAGAAGATATCAGTGAGTCAAATGTAATGCTCGCCCACTGAAGACAAAATTCACAGCTGTTGGCTCAAATACTTCCGGCTTTACAGAGTAGAACTAATCACACAGCAGAGTGTCTCTGCAGGTCCATAAAATTAACTTTATAATGTATAGGGGCCGTTGTGAACTTGGCTGGGAGTTTAGTTTTGTTTAATAAACTAGGTTTATTTATTTTACATTTTTTAATGTGTATGTCTTGCCTGCAGGAATGCAGTGCCTATGGATGACAGGAGAGGGTGTTGGATCTACTGGAACTGGAATTATGGGTGGTTGTGAGCTGCCATGTGAGTGCCGGAAACTGAACCCAGGACCTCTGCAAGAGCAGCCAATGCTCTTAACTTCTGAGCCATCTCTCCAGCCAACCATTCTTTTTATTCTGGTCATTTTATCAACTGGCCTTGGGTCTCAGACCCCTGATTTTCCCCACACTCTCCTAACTTGCAAGTTTTTATTTTACAAGATGCTTCTTTCCCAATTGCTTCTTGAAGTTTTCCCAAATTTTTATTTCTGCTGTGAGAAGACAATAAAAATAAATATCTTTGCACACTTGAATATACCTTCTTTATAGTTAATGATCTCATCTATGTAGATCAGGGCTCTTCAACCTTTTGACATTGTGACACGATGTTGTCATCTACAAATATGTTAGGTCACATTCAAAGATTAACTGAGATGCATGAGGTCCAAGAGATTCAGAGTGACATTCCCAGTAAAGACATGGCGAAGTCATGGTGAAAATACACAACTGTTAATTAATGAGGGGGGGGGAGGGAGAGAGAGAGAGGAGGGAGAGGGGAGAGGAGAGGAGAATGAGGAGAGAGAGTGAGGAGAGAGGGGGGAGAGGGGAGAGAGGAGAGGAGTGGGGGGAGTAACTGGATCAGAGAGAGAGAGAGAGAGAGAGAGAGAGAGAGAGAGAGAGAGAGAGAGAGAGAGAGAGAGAAGAGAGAGTAAGGAAAGAGGGGGGAGAGAGAGGAGATGTCACGAGCCACAAGAATATAAAATAGAAAGTCCAGCTGTATATAATAAGCTATTCTTTGACCAGCCAAGGGTCTGTCAAATGGGAAGCCATTTATCATAGAATATTTGGTGTTACACAGCTTTAATGTTTAGCTGCATCTTGCTATGAATTTCTTGTGCTCATAATTCTCCTAGAACGTGTAAGTGTGTGAATCTCTATCTCCTGCATTATGCTCAAAGTACTTGGATAAAGTCCCTTAGGCAGAACCTTCTGGCCCTGAGCTCCCAACTCCCCTTTTAGCATTTGAATTGGGTATCTGCCTTTTGCAAATATTTCCTTTTAGCCACATCCAAAGAGAGGGCCAGCCCCAAAGCATTAAAAGACAAGAGAGGAACAGAACTACCAGACCACCTGCTAGGCACCTGAAGCCCCTGAACTGGTAAAAGAACCTGGCTCCCAGGGCAAGGGCCTGGCCCCCTAGAAGCATAGCTTTGTTTCTTGTGCAAATCAAGTTCAGATCTTCTCTCCTTTTTCCCACTGCCCTAGAACAACTTCTTAGGTCAAAGGGGTTTCCTCTCACCAGGTGCTTCCAGCTGGGATGCAGACTGACTGGCTCTCAGTCCTCCTCCCGCCCTGTCAGAAAACTGGTGCAGAGAAAAACAGTGGCGGCTTTATTTTTAGTGACTTACAGATTTCTTTACCTTATCACCTGTGAGTTTATAGTTTGAGCACATTTATGATAGACCCATAACGTTTTCACCTAACCTCAGTAAGGATAGATTCCTAGCACATAAATTAATTCCTTCTCTGATTTATTCCAGCTCCTAACTCCACCTTTATTCTCTCCCCCATTTTGGGTTGCATATGAAGTTGCCAGGAAGTTTCTGGTGGGGACCTTGCAAATTCTTATGTTGTATTATAAACATGAAGGAGTTGCTGGCTTGGGATAGATATAGAGCAGTCCTGAGAGAAGTGGGCAGAATGTTGGTGGCAGAATGATGGCGGCGGACGAATAAACGAGTGGGACAAGAGAGCTCCGCACATCTGGATTCATTCTTGCACTGCTGGTAGCATCACTCTGGGCACCCTGGGACAGTGTAATATTAAGGCTGGTCCTATAATATTATACAATGAGGAGAGAGAGGGGAGAAAGAGAGGAGAGAGAGGGTGTGAGAGGAGAGAGAGAGAGAGAG